CACACACACACACACACATGTAGCTCACAGAAAATAATTAGATTCGAGAGTATTTATGGTGAATGCAGCGATCCACATATTTCACCAAGCAAAACGGTTTTTGAAGTAAATTTCTATTTGGGAACACACTTCGAATACATACGAGAACCAAAAACAAAGGAAGCACAACACACTCACGTACATTCACACACATACACACACATTGTATGATTTCATGCTAAATAAAATAATTTGGATTAATGCATGTTGCTGAGTGCTTGCTTATTGGAATTTATGATACATTTGCGAATTCCTTTTGGTGAAATTTGGTGCATTGTAGCTTTGGTTTTGCTCATTCGTTTGCTCGTTGTGTGTGTGTGTGTGTGTGCTTTTTTCTGTTTCTATTCTATTTTTGTGATTCGCCATCACTTTAATCCTATTTTTGGCTGTAGCACGTTACGTTTTTCATTTTTCGGTAACATTTCATAATTCTTTTACGCTCATATTTTACAAATTGATTCTATTTTACATTGTGCGCTTGGACTGCAAGCCTTGGGCACATGGGTGCTGGTGCTGCTACATGCTACTGTTACCGTCAGCCAAATCAAATCTATGTACCAAATGCGATAGAGAAAAACTGATTTGCTCTTTGTTTTTGGGCAGTACACAATTAGGAATTGTGGGTCGAGCACACAACCAATTCTAACTGAAAATGGACGCAAAAAAATCTCATCGCATAAAAACTGGTCTGCTTTCGACTTTGGGACTACGCGCAAAAACAGAAAAAAACAGCGTTGGCCCATTTCGTATGTAATTTAGAATTATGGTTGAATGCCGGTACGCAGTTCTTATCGCCTGTCTCAAGTGCGAATCAACCATTTGAAAGATTAACCCAAAAAAAGGTGATGTGGCTGCCTCTTCAACTATCAATCTTTGATATAAGAAATTAATTGGCCATTAGTTCAAGCATTGGTTTTTTGCCGTGGTTTTCGTGAGGTAATGCGCTTACGTAAGAAATAACGTGGTCGCGCTGCCGATGCTATAAATGTTTTCGTGCAATATCGCACAAAAGCATTTACACCCGGAAATTAAGATAAAATTTGAACGCGCGTGCGTTCACCACATTATAAAAGTTAAACTTGAATTGTACAATTTTTTATTGTTGTGGTTCGTGTACGTTCGTTCGTTCGTTCGTTCGTTTAGTGTGTGCATGTAACAAAACAAGAATAGCGACCATTAATATCTTTGATTCAATGCTCATTAGCGTTAATAAAGGAAATTAAATCACGTAGGTACAAACATGTGTTTCGACAATAGCAACAACGAAAAAATAATTGAATCGAAGAATTATCTACATTCTTCAAATTTTTGGTGTGCATTATCGTCGAGCGAAAGGAAAAAAAATGTGCTTATGGTGCATATATGCTATTTCCGATTTCATAAAATATGTGCTTACCTTAGTAATGTGCCCGCGTGTGATCGATAAGTTGGTGGAGGTGATGCACCTCGAACAACACCAGCCTGTCTATCGCGATCCAATAGAAGTAATCTGTAATACGTGTACGGATTAATTAGCAAACAACATTCACCGTTAATGCTTTCTTTTTTTTGATTTTTGCTACTGAATTCGAAGCAAATGTAGTACAAAATGTTTACCTAAGTCGATATTCTTGCATGCTAGCCTGATAGGATGGTGGTGGTGGCCGATGCTGAAATTCTGGATACAGAAAACCGGGTGCACGTCCACTGCATGGTCGACGTCCACATCGTCCCAATTCACCAGATCCCATATCTGTTTGACAGCCAATGCGTAAAAAAAAGAAGTTGTAAATTATTTTGTTGATGTTGAATAACCGTATGACCCAGTCATGGTTTGATTGCCCAAAACGAAAACGGCACATTTCTCATGAAAATCGTTTCGAATCTTACCGATGCCAAGACATTGCGTTGAACCCGGTGCTGTCATTCGCCATGCAGCTCCACTAACCGTGACCAGAATAACGCCAACTCCTATTTTAAAACGAGAATTTAAAAAAAAAGCAAACGACAATGTGAATCATGTTAAAGACAATTTGAATTGATTTTTTTTTTATTCGACTTTGACATCTCAATGGGTTCAGTACAGATTCTACAACTTCTATAAACGTTACACGTTGATTGGGCATAGAATGTTGAAAAAAAAAACACACTAGAGATACACATACACACCCGACCGCGTAACACATGCTTTTCAAATGTTTCGCACCTTGATGTCATTAGCAAGTCGAACAAATGAAAAATGAACGATGCGATTGAAGACATTAAACATTCATTATTCACACAATGTGTGATCAGCGCATAGTGTTTTAAGCATTGCTCGGGCAATTTGATTTTTGCCTGATCACAACGATATTACGTATTTGGACTTCGTTGTTTTTTTTTTCATGCGCTCACAGCCACGAGTGTTGGCGCCTTTTTTGTTTCTTCTCGTCAACGCCTCGCCTCGAAGACATGCATAGCCAATTTCACGGTCACAAAAGAGTTAAGGTTGAATCCATCGCCAAATTCAAAGTTCGATATTCTTCTGTGTGATGCGAGAATGCCAACGCGGCCGAATAAGTACAAAAAAGTTCTTTGTTCCAAAGAAGAAGAAGAAGAAGAAGAAGAAGAAGAAGAGAAAAAAAACTCTGGCGCAGAAAAAAAACTATACTAAGTAACAGAATGGCGAGAAAACAAACGAGAAAAGTATTCTCGTTTCGATGACTGTGACGGCGCTGTATTCATTGTTTTTGAATTACATGCATTCATTATCATCTGAGTTGTTGAAGAATGGTTGAATAGAAAATCGCTTTTATTTGTTCTGCTCGTGTATACGTATGTTGTTAATTTTATTCGCCTCTCTTGTTTTTCTCACACACAAGGCCTAAACATGAGATTGATGATGTTTTACGTATTTATATTATGTGCGGCATTTAAAAGGCGTGCGAGTTCACATGGATGGAAATTGAACTTGGTCTAAACAACTGGAACACAAATTACAAATTGAATAATCATTTTCAAATCAATATGACTCGATTCTTTTTCATTTTATTTTAGCAAATCATTTGAAATGCAGAAAAACCGCGCTGGAAATCATTTACGCCTCAAATTGAACGAATGAATACACACTATTGTGTGTGTGTATTTTACACCCAAATCCGAGGTACTTCCGTAAAAGTCAACAACGAAATTCGATATTCCGGCTAATACGACATGGGTGCTCTGTTTTCTGCGAGTTGGTGTCTTTGTCATTGATTCGCTCATTCTCTTTACCCATCACAGCGCTAAGAGTAAACATCTTTTCATTTTATGCACATACATACACACAAGTCTCAAGTAGTTCCATTGTAATTAATTTTATTACATTTTGAATAATTCGAAAAGCATTTAAGGTCTTCGACTTGTTTAGATTTAATGGGATAACTAAATAAAGAGCGTTTGCAAGAGTCGTTTGTTTTTCATTTAATATTATTATAACAACGCGCCGTCGGCATGTAGGTGTTGATAAGCAGGCACATGTATACACTTCAGACATATCCAAGGCATAGCACACACAATTGATTTTGTATCTTTTCTTAATTCACCGGAATGCAATAAGAACTTTAATCTGTTTCTCTTGGCATTAGAATAAATCGCACTCGATGTGCACATCAGTACACACACGTTGAAGTATGCACATAAGTGTACACTGTACGGTGTACAATGTTCAATTCAATGCAATTGAATTGCTTCAAACTACGTCGTTTTTGTTTTCAAATGATTCGATTAGACTATACTATTATTGATGAGGTGGTGGTGGTGGTAGTGATGGCGGTGGCGTCAATTCGTGTTTCATGTGGTTTGCAGGCATATAGAAAACAATAAATACCAATCAACAATGCCATTGTCACTCTGACTGATTAGTTTCAAGCATGTTTTATTTATTTCAGAAAAAATACGCAATAACTTCAAATTTCCGAAGGGAAAAAAAATATATAATTGGGTCTGTACATCACAATTGAATTTATCTCGCAAAACCAGTTTATGTGCGCCGTTTTAATTCCGTTTCCAGCACAAATTGAAAATAGAAGCATGCGAGAGAGAAAAAAAGTTTAATTTTCATAAAAAATGCAGGTTTAATTGCGTAGCAAAAATGGAAGTGACGATGTGACTTGAAACGAAAATGAGCTGCACATGCCACAGATAAACTGAACTTTCCATACAAAGTTCAGGAACACACACCCAGATACATACACATGTGTCTGCAGACAGAGAGAGAGAGCAAGAGAGAGAGAGAGAGATTATCATTGAATAATTGACATTAGAACTACGTGTCACTTTGATCTCGATCAAACGATGAAGTGCTCTGCAAAGCAATTAGGAATCATTATGAAAATTCCATGGAAAAAAAATCCGATTTTCTTTTGAATCACATCCATTCAGTCATTTCACTTTATTCATTTCGTTCAGAAAATTTGAATTATAGTCGTGTGTCGCCATTTTCGCAGTGCCTATTTTAACCTTCATTATTCCCATTGTCAAATGCATGAATGATAAAGAAATTCGCATAACATTGCAGATACAATGAGAGAAAGATCAAGTGTGTGTGTGTGGCAAAGACAAAAAACGAGAGAGAAAAGATAGAAACAACAGTGATAGGATGGCACAAAAATAGTTTATCGCACGCCGAAGAGAGGCATGAAATCGAGTGGAAACGGCTTTGTGAGGCAAAACAAAAACACACTGGCATTTTGGTCTAGCTCATTCTTTTCCACATTTACGAACTGGTTACATAAATGCTGACAGTCATGGGAGTATGCAAGTCGCTTTTCTCTCTCTCTCTCTCTCTCTCTCTCTCTCGCTCTCTCTCTCACTCACTCTCTTCCTCTGCAAAATATCTGCACTCTTTGTTCGGATCTAATTTGTCGGTTATTGCGTGCGCGCCACTGTCACCGAGTTGCACGTCGTATGTAAACAACATAATATTTGTCATTTTGGCTTGGATTAGAGTGCGAAAGATCTTTTTTGCTTACTTGCTGCATTGTTCCGTAACGCAAACTTTAGAATCTTCTCTTTTTTTGGTTTTTGATTGCGCGCTCGCGCGTTGGAGCGAGCAAGAGATGAAAAGAGTGAGCAATAAAGAGCAACGAAATACAAAACGGTGAATGAGCATTGCAGCAACCGAGGTATTGTTGTTTTGCGGGAGCAATGTCACAGCCTTTACAATTAAACGGTATTATGATGATTGTAGTTCAGGTATTGTGTGCTTGTGCATTTCGTGCATGTCACTATGGCAGGTACTCTAGCTCATGTATACACACACCCCATTCCGCAAAGAGAGAGAGAGAGAGAAAAGAAGATAGTGCGCGCACAAAAGATATTTCGCAATGAATGCGAGAAACCGAATAAGAAATGCCACAAACGCAAATGAGACCGGATAAATATGCCATTAAAAAAGATTTAGTTGAATGTGGCACGCAAACATTTAAACGCACAATAACCAATAAAACTCATCGGTGGAAAAGGCGGAAAATGCAACTGTGCACATACATTTCCTCGCCAATACACGACAGACCGCTACTGGTGGCTGCACGAAAATTACTATGGTGAAATGTCTTCATCACGTGACACAAGCAATAGATAGCTGGAATGTATGCCAAAGTTGGTCCAGCGATCCAACCTTGTTCACAAATCGAAAAATGACCACTATCAATTCGGCCCCATCGACCATCAACGTCGTTTTCGTCGTTTTTTCGGCTATTAGTTTTTGCTTCTTCAATATCTTTCTTCTCATATCTAATTGGTCTTCCGAAAAATGCCATGATAACAATCAATTTCATTTCAGCAAACGAATGTGAAAACTTTTCGCAAGTCACATATATTCGATACGGGGGAACGAGAGAAAATAAAATATATGATGAGTGTGTTTTGGTGTGCCGAAGGCAAATAAAACGGCATCATTAAATCGAATCGTTTGAGATAAAAATCAATCGTGCAAAGCCGAAACAAATATGCTGCGTGTTTCAAATCAAAGCAAATCATCAAGCCATTTAGCTTTTGTGTACCCAACCAGGCGGCCATACACAGCAATTGTTCTAAGTTCTTTTTTGTTTTGCCAAGAAGTCGTGGGAATCGATTGAATTTGTTGAGATATCGTCGAACGAGAATGAAAGAATTCTTCTTAGCTTACCGATCATCAATAGAGCAGCTGTCAAGTGCGATGTTGGCGGACCAGCCAAACCAGTCGCTCCAAGTGCAGCTCCACCTAACGCACATGCAACACCACCTGAAATGATCAACACATTTATTGTTGTTGTTAAATTTCAATTTTTATGGCCCACAAAAATCATTTGAAATTTTGTTGAAAAACAAAATATATACATCAAATACTTACCAAGGGCAACAACCGCAATGACGGCACGCAATGGAGGACCTGCAAACCATTGACCACAACAATCTTTTCCGGGCCGTTCTGATGGTGACCTGCATGAAAAAAAAAATTCACAAAGATAGGGCGTTAGAAACTGTATTGAAAAAAAAAAGTTTGTGAAGAAAATACATAAAAAAAGTTAAGTATTTGCCAAGTGCTACTCTTCAGTCACTTCAAGAGAGTTTCATCATCATCATCGTCATCTTCATTTTGTTTTTGTTCCCCGTCAAAATGTAAATTTTTTTTTTACAAAATACAAGGTAACGCGAAACTTAATGCGTCGCTAGATAAAATGCAGATAAGGTCCTAATACAACAAAGACAACAAGCCGTATTTTTCAAGGTAAGTGTCTTCATTCGGCTACAAGGAGTAATTACGATTGATCCCCATGTATATTTATGGCGCGGTTGAGCTAACGCGAGCGCGCGCTTATTCACTCACCAAACTTGCTATGATTTATTCGCAAAAAATCCTCGCTTTAGCTCGTTCATGAGCAGGTCAACGAAGCGTGCATGACAAAGTTATTCGAGAGAGAAAAAACACGAAAAAAAGTACTTCATATATTTAAATGAAATTTGGTCGAATTATTCTGGTTGAGTTGTGTTATCTGTTTATCATGGTTTGAATAAAGTTGTGAGCGAGCGAGTAAGAATCGGTCACGGATGGAATTTTTCAAGAATATAACATTTTTCGTGTAATGTTCATGAGTGAGAGCCCGCGCGCACGTCCCGTATGATTTGCATAGCACGTAACCATTGAAGGTGATCCCATTTGGAATTGGTGTATGTGTGTGTGTGTGTGTTCATGTTTAATATCGAGATAATTCTATGTAATCGCTACTCATGTTTGCGATTTGAAATACTCTGCTTGCATTCAGCCCAACACATATACGTAACAATGCCTAATCTACACCGAATTCAATAAATTTTCTTTTTTGTTTATATCGTTGCCTTAATATTTCAAGTGCGAGTTCGTTCGTTCGTGTTCTTTTTTTTTGCTTTTCCATAGTTTTCGAACATAACAACTTAATTTTCATGCTAGCAAAATGCATTTCCATGTCGGTACACGATTAAGCTCACCAGCATCTAAACTATGCCGCACCGATCCATGTACTTTTCGACAAATGTTCTCTCATTCTTCTTCTTTGCCTTTTTTCTCTGTCGTTGCCCAGTACCAAACTTCGACCGAAAATTAGAAACGTAACTAAAAACACCATTAACTACGAGAATAATTACGTAGCGATTATTTTGTTATGGTTGAAATAAAGTTAAAATCCATCGTCAGCAAACCGAAATCCGATGTTGTATTACTAGCTGTTCCCATTTCGATTTTTGTTTAGTAAATATTGGTAAGCTCTACACGGCGGCCTATGAATAAACCAGCCGCAGAAGATATTATCAATTTCGTTAAACAATGCCCGAAAACCGAGGAATAGTAGTTGTACATCTGTATGTATGCGAGAGAGAGAGATAGAGAGAGATAGAGAGAGAGAGAGAGAGAGAGAGAGAGAGAGAGAGATTTACATGGAAGTTCGTTTAACGCAAACATTGTGTGACAGGAAAATGGAGCCGACACTGCTGCTGCACACCAAGCGGGGACACAACAAGCGAAAATGAATGAGCTTGTATCCGAAAATCTCTAAATGTGGAACTATGTTCCAACCGGATGTTCAAATATTTGTGCAATAATTTATTGGGATATCACAAACATTCCAAAGTTGTTGGGTGCGCGACGCTCGCATACATTACGATACGTACAAAAAACATACAGCGGCAACAACAGCAACAGCCGCCTTCAAACTAATCCGCATTTTGGCAAACGAACACCAAGAAATCAATAAACAACAAATGAGTTATTGCAAAATTTGTTGGCAGATCACAACAGTTCCTGCCAATTTCACACAGATTATTAATGTTTAGGCGCGTTGCCTCAAGAAAGAGACATGTGCCGCACTTTTTCATCAATCAATTAGACGATGCAAGTCATGAATCAGCAAATTCTTTGATATTTTTTTATTAATTCCATTATATATAATCATATTTGAATCTTTAGCATTTTCTACGAAAACCAATGAATTTCTGAAATTTAATTTCATTTCAAAATACGAGTTGACAAAATATCGTTGTGGTCCACAACTTGTGAAATATACAAATAGTGTTATTTATGTGAAAATTGAACCAATTCAAGAGTAAATAAAATGAGAATTCTAAAAATGCACCAGTCATTGAGCTATTTCAATCCAATACCAAATAAAGTCATAAGCTTGAATTTACATCCGCATGACTGAATTTCTTGTGTCATAAATCTAATGAAAAATATGTGACTGAAATAGAATCACCCTCAACGATGCCTGTTTCCAAAACGACGTTTTATTTTCCTTCGTGCATTTTAATTGCAATCTTCGAAGTGCATTCATTCCTGTTCATTCGTTTTATGAAGAATTCGACGGTGTGGCGAAGCGAAAAAAAACCCGAGCAGGAATTCAAATTAAAAATTGTGTTGGGGTGAAATGTGATTTCGTGTGCGTTTTTTCCTATTCTCCTTCTTCAAATGTCGCTAGTTTGTAGCGTGGCAAATGTTTGTAACAAGCACTTTAGCGATTGTAAAATGTTGATTTTGATTTTGGAAAATGTTCAAGTTTTTGGGGCATAAATTTTGCATCAGGCGAACCTTTTATACGGAGTTTCGTGTGTTTTATGGGCCAAACCAAAATAATAGTCGAAGTTTTTGGTGACTTTTTTGTTGTTTGTTCGTGTATGTGCGCGCTTTTTCTTCCTGTGCACTCGAACCCATTCACCGCTTTATAATATATATTTATATATCCATGCCGACCAGCATGAATCCAGAACATGCACACGAAACGACTCGAATATTATGCAATATTTTATCATGGCATTTTATAAGCCAGCCTCAGTACAATAACAGTAGAGTTAATGCACACAAAAAAAGTAACCAGCCGCATCAACATACACACGCACACACAGAGGGACACATTCGCTGTGTCGCATTTTTTTCTACCATGTGTTTCGTAATTATGACGGGAAAATTTATTTGCTGAATGCATAAATAGCTTTTTCAAATGGAAAATGTACGAAGTAATAACAACAAAATTAATTCTGCACACACTGAAAATGAACAGAGCGGCAGAGAGAGGGAGAGAGAGAGAGAGAGAGAGAGGGAGAGAGAGACTGAGTGAGTGAGAGCAAAAAGTGCGGCCGGAGAGCTAAGAATGAAAATAAATTAATGTGACTGACCAGAAATAAAAGAATAAAAAATGCAACAACAATAAAAAAAAATAAATAAAACATATGATAAACGAATCAACATTGAGCATTGAACACAATGTAATGCCACTTCCCACACACATACAAACGAATAAATACGCATAAAATTGATTATGAAAATTAAGTTTGGTGCACACAAATCAGAAGCGTAAATTAAAATAATGGTAACTCTATTCAGTTTCGGTGGATCATCACAATTTGCGAATGAAAATGTTCCCTCTCACTCTCCCGCTTACTCTCATCCATTGGTGTATCATATTTTGCATGTTGTAAATAAAATTACTTCATTTGGATAATAATGTGCAGCGTTTTTCACTGTTATTTTCCAGCCGTAGCTGAAAATAAGAGATCGCTTTTAAAATAAATGTGGTTTACACAATGTATTTCACTTGATGGTTACGCAGCGTAAAAGAGGCAAAAATAAACTGATGCTAACGATAAATGGTTTTTTTTTTCTCTCGGAAAAGTGTTGTGTTGTGTTGTTTTCGGTTGGTTGTATTTTTTTTTTTGGTCCGCAAAAATATTCATAAATTAAACGGTAACGAATCAACATATGGCCCATATGTCATCGGACCGATTGCAACAATCGATCGATTTTTCTGATGATTTACTTGCGCCCATAAAATGCATTTAACAAACTAATCGAAATTCAATTATTAAACGCTTTTTCACATGGCTGAGCGCACATAGTTTATTCATGTGTCGAGACTAGTGATGTTCATTAAAATATTTGCAGCAAGAAAGTAGTTCAATAGAAACATCTCCTCCAAAAATAGTTGACTTTGAATCGTCGAGTTTCCATGACGACGACGACGACAGTAAAAAAATGTAATCTCAAAATAGAGACGAGGCAACAACATTAGTAGACAGCAAACAACAACATCTAGATTATTTTGTAAGTTTGCAAAAATAATAATAGTTGCATGAACGCATGAGCATATTGCGCATATTGATAATGCAAATGACTGATTTGAAGGTGATTCAGCGTGAAGAGAGATAGACAGTGCAGTGAAGCTGTAATGACTGATTCATCAGATATCGGTTCAAATCATGCCATATTTCAAGAGTCAAGTTGATGAAATGAAAATAAGTAGTTATTCAGTTTAAGGTCAATTTATGCTTGACTGTGGCAAATCACTAGATATTTGTGTAATTTTTCTACTGTCGTCACATGTCGCATGCCTTTTTTTTCTTCTCTCTCTCTCTCTATCTCTCTCGATCTCTGTATTTGCTCATTTTGTCGATAATCTACAAACATGTTTCCATTGCAATGAACTTATTTCAGTCAATTCTGTTTACTGCTCGCTCCAAGCCAATGTGCAAACTCACACGAATGCTCAGGAAATTGTCGCATAAAAGAAAAAAAACCGCATAAAAAAGCAAAGGCATGGGAGAATTAAAAAAAAATTGCAAGTTTTTCTTACCAAAGAGAAAAATAAATAAGAATCGAAAAATCATGGGACATTTGCATTTCAATTATTGATTTTATGTGACAATCATTGAAACAATTGTATTGTGTGTACGCGCGTTTAAACCTTTTGTGTCGCATTTCAGCCACACCGCGTTTTTTTCTGCTTCACTTCTCTCTCTCTCTCTCTCTCTCTCTCTCTCTCTCTCTCTCTCTCTTTCTATGCGACGTTTATTTGCTATCGAATGAAATCTTCAGTGACCGAAAATCAGTCAAGTGTGGAAAAAATTGTAAAAAAAAAATCATTGGCCGCAATTTTGTCTTTCTTCTCGCTGTGTTATTCCATCATAGTTCCTTCGCT